TAATAGACGAGGAAACAAAGGCCCAGAACAAAGCAGTTACTACTCCTTTGGTCTGCACCCAGATTTCCTAGCTCACCTCGCCGGCACTGTCCCCTGTTTGGCCTGCCATGTGGAACTGTCAGCCCAGACAGGAAAACGTCTGCTTGGGTCCAGCTCCGGGAGGCTGCTGACCCTTGGTTTGGGGCTTGGCGCAAAGTTAGGTCCGGAGGTACAAAGGTATGAGATCCATTGTCATGGCTGACTGCTTATTCATCATGCAAATTACCTCGTCTGTAAACTCAATGGACTCTGACCGAGAACTCTGCAGTCTGACCCCAGCCTGCCCTCCCCCAATTCCCCATGGGTTTCCTGACACCTGGTTAGGATGCTGGGAGGGGCTAGGGGAGGGACAGAGGGCATGGGAACCAGGCCTTGTTTAAGGGCAGTTCTGAGAAGTCATCCAAATCCTTTGCAGGCATTTGCTCCCCAGACCAAGATCCTCAGAGAGGCCGGGAAAGGTAACTAAGGTCAATTAGTTAGTGTTCTGCATGAAGGAAGCAGGAACCCAGGGACTCTGACCTGGGTGTTTTTGCAAGGGCTGCCTCGCCTCGCTAGAATTGACTTTCATTATCTCTATGTGCCTTTCATCCTTCCGGCGGAAGATGATGATGATGATGATGACAGTAATGGTAATAGTTTCCATGCATCCTGCCCCTCTTAAGGGACAGGCACTGGGCTAAGTGCTTTAACACATTCTCACATTTAACCCATGGGACCCCCGTGAGGAAGGGTTTAAGAATCAGAAGGTCACCTTGCCATGGGTCCTGTAGTTGCTAGGTGGCAGAGTTGGAAACTGGACTCAGGTCTTTGGGATCCCAAATCCTGTGTGCACACTGTGCATACGACAAAAGAGAACCAACTGGAAGAGCCTGAAGGTGTGCAGAGGTTACTGGAGGAACGTGCAGAACTGCTTCTCTCCTTGTCCCTAAGAGGAGCCTGCCTTCCAGCACTCTGAGACCAGGCTGGTTTACAAGCCACGGTCCATCTCATCCACAAGTGGGTCCCTCAACATCTACACGAATGGCAGTTATTCAGCTAGAGATTTGGGGGTGGGCTTGGGAGTCAGAGTTCTGGGTTCGAATCCAGATTCTGCCACCAGCTTAGAAACCTGGGAAAGTGACCTGATCTTTCTGAACCTCGGCCTCCTGGCTGTAGAGTGGGAGTGGTTTTCTCCTCTCAGGACCGGAAGGAGGACTAAACGAGGCCAAGTGAGGACAACATGCCTGCCCAAAGGAAGGGTGCAGAGCGTTCTCCCTGGTAGCACCACTGACTCTCTTGAATCTGCCATTTTCCCATAAGCACTTGCTACTTCCATTATTTTTTTCAACACTCTTACTGAGCCAGGAGCTTCCCGGGCCTGCCAGTGCAAAGAAACTGTCTTTTAGTCTTAGGGCCTGGCAGGGGAGGGGAAATGTGGAGAGGAGAGAGCCCGGCTTCAGAAGTCAGGAGGATGATGCTCAACTCTGCCACGTCCAAGCTGTGTGACCTTGGACAAGTCACCTTGCTTCCCTGCGCTGCTGGTTCTTCATCTATGAAAGAGGAATAATAACACTTGCCTCATTGGGTGGTTATGAGGATTAATGGAAAAAACAGAGGTGCTCAATCATTGCTAAGTTTCCCTCACTCCTCTTCCCTTGATCTGAGAATCCATGTTCATGGTCCTGGAACAACCACACAGTTTAGGAGACTGCTCTCAAATGCCGCAGCTGTCATCTTTTAGGGGTGGACTGCTCCCAGCAATCATGCTGTCCATGCCCCTGCCTCTGCGCCAGACCCAGCCTAGCCTGATGTCTCTCCACTCTCGCTCAAATATCAGGGAAAGGATTCTCCCCCTGGTGCCTCTCAAGTTCACAACACTGTTCTCGGGAGGTTCTCAAGTCTCACCCAGAGTCAGCGTGCAAGTAATGATGCCGGTATTTGTGTGAGGACAAGTCTGGGCCCCTGGATCTACATGGGACCCAGGAAGGAGACGAACGTCGGATGAGGCTTGCTGACAGGACGGAACAAATGCGGCCTGCCTGGGCATCTCTGGGGCTCCAGGAGAGGGAAGGGGCACGGTGGGGCTGGGTAGCATGGGGTCAGGGCTGAAGTTTGGGGGGGGACTGGAATGGAGCTGAGGCCTGGGGTGGAGGCTTTCCCAGGTGGGCCCAGGACAAGCACCTGTCAGGATGGCTCTCACGGTCCTGCCTTGAAGGTGGGCTCCAGGGGGTGCCAGGGTGTCGGGGCGGGTGCCCATGCTGCCTACCTGCACGTAGTTGTCCACGCAGTAGTCTGCGACCCGCAGCAGGGAGCTGTGGTTGCCCCGCAGAGCCTCCCGGCCCGTGGGGATCTCGAACTCCTGCAGTTGCTGAAGCTCCGACATGGCCCCCTGCCTCTGGCTGGCTCCCCGGGGAGCCCGCTGGTTTTGTGCCTCACCCTGCTCTTGATTGGTCGCTCTGTCTTCCCCCCCTCACCGCTTTTGGTTTCCTCTCCGTGAGAGACCCAAACCTGCTTGCAAAGGGCAGGCAGGCTCATTCCGGGACAAGAGGAAGTCAGTCTCCACTCCCTGGGCCCGCGCCTCTCTGCCCCCTGCCCAGAGGAAGGGGGAAGCCAGGGGCCCCTCTGGGGGCCCAGTCCCCCAATCCCTCCCAGCAGAGGAAGCCAAGGTCGGGGCGCTGTGATTGCTCCCTGGGCCTGGAGAGGAAACTGTTTGGGGGGAGGGGAATGGGGTGGGAGACTGAGGAGGAAGGGGGCTGGCCTGCTCTGGGTGGGTGGTGGAGGCGGATTTTCCACTCATGGAAGGGGAGGAAAGGGCAGAGGGTGGGGGCTTCCTTGGGAAGCTCAGGGATGAGTCACCAGGGGCCCAGGGAGTGGAGGGTGGGTAAGATATGGAGACCAGTCGTGCTGGGGGCTGTAGGGTGGCGCAGAAACCATGGAAACCAGCCAAGGCAGCAGCCAGAGGAATCAGCTCAGACAGCAGGAAGACACATCCAGAGGTCCCCTGAGAAGTGTGAGCAAGCCTCGGAAGGGCTGTGTGTGAAGAAGCCCTGGTGCACATGCTCTGTGCCTGGTGGAGGTAAGCCCAGCTGTAGCGCCGCAGGTTCGGATTAGACAACAGGAAGGAATTGGCTTTGAGAAGCACCAGGTTCAAGTTCCAGGTTAACTGGTCGGTCTTAGGAAGCAGCGGTGGACAGAGCACCGAGCTGGCCTCTAGAGGTCTGTGCTCTCCATCCTGCATTTACAGCACAGTTGGACTAGAAACCTCCAGGCTTCTGTCCTTATCCTAAATTCTTCGCGCTACCAGCTGTGAGTGGGACTCGGACCCTGGAGCGGGGGAGTCAGGACGGGCTCCAGGCCTCCTCCCTTCCAGAGCCCCTCCTGTCAACCTAGAGACAGGACAAAAAGAGGATCCCTAACTGACCGTATTGATCTCTTAAGCATCTGCTTCTTGGGAGGGTCCCCTTGCCATGGGACAGGTATCAGCCTGAGCAGGAGCTCAGTGTCTATTAAACAGCATAGCCCTTGGGTGGTCCTGGAAGGAGACCGAGAGAAATATCAGGATGTGGGCCCTGTGTTCAGCGATTGGTGAGGGAGACCCACACTCAAGGCTCAGAGAAGGCAGGGAGGCCAAGAAGCATGGACACAGGCACTGGAGGTGGCGATGGCCCCAAGTGCTGACAAGAACAGCATCCTAAGTAAGGAGTCCATTTTTATTGAATGAGAAGGAAGATTGAGCTAGGAGAAGCTTGTAAGGTATAATCACGGGGCTCCAATGGGAGACACAAAGGCTTCTTGGGTGAGGGACGTTAGAAGCTGGTCTAGGACTTGCTTCACTGAGAAGAATAGTCTCAGAGCAGGCTCAGAGGTGGTGGACGGGAGGGCTTGGGAGACAAGGCACGGGGAGGGGATTGTGTCGGGCTGAGGGTGAGAACTGGCTATAAGCCAGAAGGGTCTCGAAAGGAGCAAGGTGGACGTAGGGGGCAGGGTGTCCGCTCCAGTGGCAGTGAGGGCTTGGAGGCTCAGGCCAGCGGACGGGCTTAGGACCTTGAGCCCATGATCAGCTTAGGCATCAGAGATTTTGGCTTTCAGACCATCTGCTTTATCTGAAGACTTTCAGAAGCTGAGGAGCCGGGAAGCTCAAACACCATCTTGTCTGAGTCAGGGACAAGTGACTTGAAGTGCACGCTCTTTCTTGGCAGGTGAGAGGGGCTGAGTTTGCACTGGGCTGGGATTTAGTCTTAGAATTATTAAAGCTGAGCCCCCAGCAGGCCCTCCTGATAACGCTGTCCTGATGATGATGATATCAATACTATAACAATAATAATCATATTCATGATGTGCCATACAGAGGGTTAAAGTATTTTATATGCATTATTTTCTTAGGATTCACAAAAATCATACAAGGTAGGTACTGTTATTATACCCATTTTGCAGATAGGGACACTAAGACTCAAGGAGGTTGAGTGACTTGCCTAAGCCTCACAGCTTGGAAGTGGCAGAACCACGATCAGAACTGGAGTCTGGCAGGCTCCAGAGCCTTTCTCTTAACCACTAGGGTACACTCTCCCCTGACAGGACCTGCTGTTTCCCGAAAACGTCTACCTGTGCCATTATGTGAAACAATAACCTGGCTTCCAGAATTCTGTTCCCTGAAAGAGGCTCCTTTTCTCTCCCTTCCCCATGCTCTGATTCCTGTTCCATCCGTAGACAGATCCTACTCCAAGGGCAGAGCCTGTTCCTCCCCCATCAGACTGGGGGAGCTGTGCCTCCCCCATCAGCCTGGGGGTACCCTCTCCTCCAGAGCCTGGACTCGTGATGGGGTGGGGGGGGAATGAATCCGTGGTGTGAAGTGAGGGGCTGGGCAGGGAGGAGGGTGGAAGTTGAGGTGTGGAAAGTGCAGGAGGGAGCTTCTGTGGGGAGCCCAGGGGATTTGCAATCCCAGCCACGGAACCCTTGCCAGGAGCAGGTCTCTCTGGAGCAGGATGGCCCAGGAGCTCAGCGAGAAGGAGCTATTGAAGATGGAGGTGGAACAGTTGAAGAAGGAAGTCAAGACCCCACGAACCCCGGTGAGCCCCCTCTTCCCTTCCCTGCCCCTGTTCGCTGCCGTGGCATCCTGGTCCTCACAAAGCCGGGCCCCCAAAGGGAAGCGACAGGCCGAGGGCTGGTGAGGCCTCTGCAGAACAGCAGAAGGGGCAGGAGTGGGAGGTGCCTCTGGGCCCAGCGAGGCTGCAGAGGGAGGCTGGGGCTTAGCCCCACAGAGGTGCCAGGAGCGAACCCCCGCAGCCTGGAGGCCGCAGGGGGCCTGGCCCAGTGCCCCTGGGAGGTAAGCACTCACCCCTCCACCCCCGCCTGCCCCTTTCTCTTTCTCCTCCCCAGCCCCCTGTCCAGGCCCTGTTTTCCTGCACCGAGCAAATCATGGATGCCCACGGACAAACGAGGGCTGGAACCACCCTTTGTTTTCTCACAGATTTCCAAGACAGGAAAGGAAATCAAGGATTATGTGGAGGCTGAAGCAGGAAACGACCCTCTCCTCAAAGGCATCCCTGAGGACAAGAATCCCTTCAAGGAGAAGGGCGGGTGTGCGATAAGCTGAGGGCCCTGGGGCCTCGCCCCCCTGCCCATCTGTCCCTCCTCAGCCCCGCTCTTCACCGGGAACCCAGTGTCGGGGGACATCCAGGGACCCGGGGACTCTCCACCCTCTCTCGGCCACAGCAGGAGTAGACACCTGGCCCGTGCACTGGGGAGCCATGCCCCACTCCCACCTTCAGTTCTCCTCTCCTCCACCCGCTGGGTCACTTGGAGACCCTTGAGGACAGCTTCTCGGGCTCAGCACCTGGCACCTTCTGTGGTGGGGTCCCAAGAGCTGGCCACGCCCTGAGACCCCGGACAGCACCCTTAGAGACGTTTATCCCTCCCTGGAGCCGTCCTGTCTTTCCTTCTGCTCTCTTCCTAGGAGCCAGCATTCCTACTCAGAGTAGTTTGGGTTGAGGGCCAGAGTGGGGGGCCCCTTCTTCCCCATCTCACGTCTGACCCTGTGGGCCTCCTCCTAGTCACTTAGACCACTCCAGGGGGCCTGACGACAAAAAGAGTTTGTAAAGTCATGATGTCATGATTTATGTAATGTTCCGGAGTGTCTGTTCCCGTGCTGGGTCCTAGGGAGGGAAGAGTGGCAGCGCGAACATGGCGGGAACTGAGTTTGCAATGAAGTCAGTAAGCTCTACTCTGCAGAAGGACCGGCAGTGGTGTGGGGCACACAGCAGACAGACAGACGCTCAGGGCCACGGGCAAGGTCCGTGTGAACTGTTGCAGGCCAGTGGGCCGTGGGGTGGGACGGGGCAGACAGATGCCCAAGAGGGAGATGCGTGAACCCCTGAAGGACCTCCCGTGAGCCCAGTTAAGAACTGTGTTCCCCACCCGCTGCAACAGGCAGGAGGCAGCCGCGGGACAGGATTTGATTAGCAGGGGGGAGGCTGGTTCCTGCTAAGGAGGATGCGGATTCCTGGGCTTTGTTAGCAAGGAGATTATAGTTTTAACGGAACCACAGAAGTGATGAGGGCGCAGAAGCAAGCTGAGGACAGAGCACAGGGGGACACCATGCAGCCCTGCCCCCCCACCCCCACCACCACCGAGGGAGCTGTGTGACATTCCTCAGGCACTCCCCGCTGCCCTAAAGCTAAGGGAAGGAAAAACAAATGGTTAACTCATAGAGATCCCAGTCCTGCAAGACAGGAGTCTCCCTCAGTTTACAAAGGTCTTAGTGATTTACCAAGAAAAAAAAAAAATTCTTATCAATAACCTAACTTCCAGAAGGAAACTCCCAACAGTCTTACTGTTAATGCTTTACTAGAGGGAAAAACAATGACAATGGCAGGCCTCCATTATCTTGTAGGTCCTCTTTAGCATACAAAAATTCTTTTGAAAACCTCACTTTTTCCTTACCCCCAACTCCCAAGTATATAACCAAGTCACCCGTCACAACCCCGGTGCAGCAGCTCTTTCTGCCCACTTGTCCTGTCCCCGTGCTTTATTAAAACCACCATTTTGCACCAAAGATGTCTCAAGAATTCTTTCTTGCCTGTTGGCTCCGGACCTCTCCCCACCAAACCTCACCTACAATCCAAAGCTACATCAGGGGCGCCTGGGTGGCTCAGATGGTTAAGCGTCTGCCTTCGGCTCAGGTCATGATCCCAGGGTCCTGGGATCGAGTCCCGCATCGGGCTCCCTGCTCCTTGGGAGCCTGCTTCTTCCTCTGCCTCTCTCTCTCTCTGTCTCTCATGAATAAATAAATAAAAATCTTAAAAAAAAATAAAATAAAAAACTACATCAGAAGGACTCACATGATACAATGCATTCAGTGCAAAGTCTGTGTGTGTGTTGGGGGGGAATCAGGGGGACCCATAGGAGGGCAGCCTAATCCAGCCAAATGGGTGAGTTGCGTCCTGAGAGGGAAAATCCGTAAAAGCCTCTAGAAGGAGGTGATATCCAGAGCTGAATCCTAAACACTGAAGTTGTAAATGGGCGGATGCATGGCAAATCTGGTTGAAGTGGCCGTATAAACAGAGGCATAGATACGAGAAGGGAAAAATGTAGGAAGCAGGGTTTGAATACAAACACCAACCGGGTTGGAGTGGGACTGTCCAAGGAGAGGCCTAGATCTTCGGAATTCACTGCTAGAGAGGCGGGCTTGGAGATGAGCAGAAGGGTCTTCGTGTCATCCACCTCCATCTGGGCTGTGAGTTGGCAATGTTTGCATTTAGAAGGAAACTGGCTTTTGACCAAATTGAAAGGAGAAAGAATGGAGGTGGAGAGACAGTTAAGGAGATGATCCTTAGATTGGGGGAGTGGGTGTCTTAAGTCTAGAGTGGGAGGTGGGGTGAGGAGTTCTTTGGGAAATGAGGTTTTCCGATCTTGACATCTCGCGGAGTGATGGGTGATGGAGAGGGAGTTGTCAAGGGCTTTGTTAGCAAGGAGATTATAGTTTTAACGGAACCACAGAAGTGATGAGGGCGCAGAAGCAAGCTGAGGACAGAGCACAGGGGGACACCAT